TAGCACTTGATGAGTAGAGTAAATTTGATCAAGACAAGATGTCAAAATAATTTACCATTTGTGAGTTATAACCTCAAATGTCAAATAAATGGCGCTATTTTGACATCAGCTGTCATACTTTCACGGCTGTATCTTTTAAAGTACTCGAAATATTTGGTTGGTTATTATTGCATTTCGTTGGTCTAACCTCAAGCTTTCAAACGCCGGTTAAGATGCTTCAATATCATTCTTGGTTCAAGAAATATTCATATGTGTTGAAGGTGATAAAAGTGAAAAATGAAAAAAAAGTTTAACCGTCTCCATTTCCCAAACAACGGTTCGGTGGAGCAAAACATATATACCATTTCGAAGCAACATGAGCTTGTGCATCATACTGTATCCCCACTTTTTCAATTTCCATGAATTTTCTCTATTTAAACAAATATTAAACGGACCGTACGCTCAATTTTGTCCAGCACAAAAATGAAATTCATCTACATTTTTCAATAAAAATCACAAAATCCAAAAAAAAAAATTCAAAATTCTCTCGGTTACTATTAGTTCACATAATTACGCAACAAACAGTGCAAAGAATTGATTGAAAAAAATAAATTAGGTTCATGAAATAGTCCGCGATACATTTTTCTGGCAGTCGTACGCTCAATTTAGTCCATGACTGTATATGTCTTGGGGTATACATGTACTTCATTTCAATTGAGTTGAGAAAGAATTTGAAATTCAATCCGGTTCCATGAAGTTCAATTTAAGCGTTTCGTTATCGTCAATTTTTTTTTGTTCTCCTAGCTCACACAGATTCGTTGGAACAATGTTTGAGTAAAAAAAAATGTGGTGGTCACAATTTATTTTCGTTTTCCGATCCGTAGCAACAAACGTACGAAATGATGTCGAAATGCTTCCGAATCCAATTTTTTTCCTTTACATTTCATCTATTTAAACGACGGAAATAACGTTTTAGAATTACTTCGAAATGTGACAGTTGTGTGTGTATGTGTTTCATGAATTTCAAGGTCAAACGTTAAAATCCATCGAACAAATCCATTCGATTTCGTCAATACACAGCCATTCTCACGCGTAATAAATATTAAGTTGAAAGGCTCCACTCATTTTCCATTGAATATCTGGTGGTGTTTGAAATGGATCGATAGCATATTTATATGTATCATTTGGGGGTCGATGAATACGTTTTTTTTGTCTGTGTTTCGTTATCGTTGTGCTTCAATTTGTTTCCGATGCGGCTTTTTGCTATGGAAACGCGTTTTCAATTAACTCGCTGCGCATTATTTCCCCCATCAAATGCACTCAATTCACTTGTTAAATGGAATTCCTCTTGAAAAGTTTCATTGAATTTGCCCGGTTTATAAAGCAAAACAACCATTTTTCTTCGGAAAAGAACGTAAAACAGAAAAAGGAAAAAAAAGCGTTTCGATAGCAATTTCACTTGAATAAACAATTTCGATGGCAAATGTGCACTGTTAATGATGTTTGAAAACTTGGTGCAGTCAATTTTAAACGGCCAAATGAACATTCGAAACAAAGCGACGAAAGCTTGAGCGATGGCAGTGTACTAATGACCGAAATGGATTTATTTCAAGGATAAAAGATGCGTGTATCGCGTTGAAGAAACACGTGCATGGTCTTAATATGTTATGGGTTTCAATTGTTACTTTCATTGAAAGGCGGCCATCTGTAGCGTACAGCCAATGAAAGCAGCACGAGCGAGACATGCGAAGAATGAGACATACACACACACACACACCGGGAGAGAGAGCACTGAAACGCACGTTTTAAGCGAATTCAATAAAAATTAAAATGAATTTAATATGATTTGGCTTGTCATGTACACATAACAATGAGGCATTGAATGGTAGAAGATGTATTCATGTACATTGTGCAGAACATACTCAAAATCAGCATGCATTGCGAAATTGAGAATTCCACTCAATCCATTGAATCGAATGTCTTCTTCATTCGTTCGATAAAAAATAAATTGAGAGGCACCGCCATCGCACATACACACTGACTGACTGACTGAATGAATGGCTGGCTGAGATCGCTGATCCAATTGTGGGCCATTGATATAATTCGGTTGCATTCTTATTTCGCGTATAATTCCAATAAATTTTGCCGAGCTACTTCATCTGCCTTTTTTATGGCAAATCGATGCGAATTGCATTCACATTGAAATGATATTGGTAATCAAAACGACTTTTTTTTCTGTACCATTCGCTTCGTTTTTCTCTTTCGCCGCATTGCTATTCTCTGGTGGCATTTTCACAGTGCTGAAGCTCACACAATTTTTGCCGTTTGCATGCTTGGTTCGTGCTTCATTTTTCTTCGCTATATTCACGAAAATTGTGGAACGAAGAAAAAAAAACACAATTGAATGTATCATACATAACATACGTATCGTCGTCATATGGAGCACTACTATCTGGAATAAGTAGTTGTTTCTTCCTGCTCTTTTTTCTTGTGCATACTGTTCGCCGTCAGCAAGCCAGAGATACACACACACAGAGAGAGAGATAGAGAGAGAGAGAGAGAAGGGACAGAGTACATGTGCAATTGAGGCTTGTTGGCAAAAGTAAAACCACACAATGACTGTCGTCACACTTGCATTGCATCCAGTTATGCATTACGTCTGGACTCGTTCCGTTGCTTGTCGATCGTTGCTGCTGCTGCTGTTGCTGCTTCCCTTTTTTCACTTCTTTGCATGTGCAATTCACTGAATGTGCAACCTCTTTGCCAATTTACTTGAGCTCCACTCGGCAAGTGCTGGGTTTTATTGCTTCTGGTCGAATCGGAAACGACGAAAAGTGTTTAACAGAGGCTTTCAGTTTTTTGCCACCATTTTTTTTTTGATAAATCATTTGAAATCAAAGTTTTCCTCCCCTCACGTCGCTCCATGTCGAGGGCAATGAGTTTGAGTGCCGAAGACGCTTCACTCAATTTTAATACAATGAATTTCCAAACAGTTTATCTCATAGTTCTGATATATGTACACATGCTGAATTTTGGGACATTTTTATAGCGAAAACTTTATGAGAACGTTCAATGAATAGCGTACGAGTATAAATAGTTTGGAAGTATGCAATGAAATCACCAATATTGAAGGAAGCGTGCACATACAACCGCAGGGGATTCTTTGTCAAAGTTATGACTTTGTGTTATGTCGCGCACACATTTAAAGTAAAATGTATTAAAAGGAATTTCATATTTAAACATAATCATGCATACGTGGTGCAATATACGTCGCGCATTTATGTGCTTTAAGTGATGATTTCATGTGAGTGAGATAAAGATGAGCGAGCGAGAGAGAGAGATAGGGGGAAAAATGGAGAAAGAAGTATGTACGCGCAAAATGAGAAATAATTTAAACCGCAAAGCAATGTGCAACAAATATGTTCGACGGTGAATGTTATGTTTATGTATGATAGTTTGGCGATGCAAGTCCTTAAACCAAAAATAGTTGAATTTCGTAGTTTGTTTGTTCGGTTGGTTTGCGGAGCAAATTCGAAACATACCAGAGCCAAATGTGCGACAGTAATAATAATTTAATGGCATGCATGCCGGCATTTGTGTGTAGCGGTAGGTGTGTATGCATTCACATTCGAAACATACAAAGTACATGCTGCATTCGACTTCAGTTTGTATGGAGTTATCGTGCCAGTGAAATGAAATTTAATTTTCCAAAGAACAACATTTCAACGACGCACAACTTAACATTTGTAAGAAAAGTGCACATTTTCTTTTTCCACTCAACAAATACCTCTCTACGTTTGACTTCGTCTGTTGTTGCCGCTGCTGCTATAGACTCATTAGCTCTCTTTTCAGCTTGTCATATTTTCTCGTTATGCTAATTAATAAAGCGAGCACGCAACGCTTTAAGGATTCGATTAACTCAGTCAGATGGTGAATGAAGCCGTCGAAAGTGTTTCGAACAAGACAGAGTTCGTGATATTCTCAACTTGGCAACCTGTTTTGAAACCAAATTGTCCCCGCATTTCAGTGTCTTCATTAATTTGGAAATCTATTTTAATGGGCATAAAAAATGAGCGTACCGCGCCGCGTACGTTTTCAAGAACAATGAGAGTGTATCATTTCTCTTTATGTCACCTGTCACACGAATAATGGCAAAACCTCTCGTAGTCAAAAGAATGACCGTAAAAGAAGTCTCATTTTGGCAACTCCCACATAGCAAAATGTGTGGTGTCGGTGACAATGATGGCGTTGACGGAAGTATTTGCTTCGTTACTTTTTTCCCCTCTTTCTTCTCTTAATGCCTGGCCTGATGCTTGGAAACAGATTAGATGGGTTTCTGCAAAACCGTACAAATCCTGGCCAAATGCATTCATTGCGGTTTTCTCCTGAGATAGTTCGTGGAGTTTTTTACGACTGTAATTGAAATTCTTGCCGTAAAGTTCTATCAAATGTTTTGCTACTTTTCAAAGTAAACAGGTTTTAATGCTTTTGCAGCAGTGGAGCGTTCGAGAGCCGTTGTATACACAATACTTATTGACGCTGTAGTACATAAACGGTGAACGTGAAAGAAAAGAGCGAGCGAGCGAGAGAGAGAGAGAAGAAGCGAAACAGTACACAAGTTGTGTGTAACACAACAAGTTTCCACGCATTTGTGAGTTGCGCGAGAAGGTGTGTGTTTACATCGTTTCTGTGTGGAAACGACAAGCGCGCGTGATATTGGAATTGAATTTTGCCCGCAAAGCAAACGACGCGACAAAATTTAACGACAAAGAGAAAAAAGCGCAAAATGTTGTCGCGAAAATCAGCCGAAGCGAAATGATTTGCGTTAAGTACTTGGGAAATTGTCATAATTCGTGGAATTGGATTGAAGTGTCTGATTAGGTTTTTGCTTCTTCTTCTTCAAGTAATTTGATTGGAAATGAGTAAATTCACTAGAAAATTGACGACGGAAGTTTGATTTTGGTGCGCATTTCTCCCATTTATTTTCGCTGAAATTGAAATAAAAAGCAGAAGACACTTACCGAGCTTGTGTTGCGGCTTTGCAAAAATTGGTTTTGCGGTTGCATCGCATTCAAATGCTGAGACTGCATCATTTGATTTTGTTGTTGATCAGTTTTTGGCGACATATTTACACCATTTATATTGACGCTGGGCTGCATGTGATCGTACATACCAACGCTGCTGCTTTGCATCGATGGTGGCATTTGCATTGTGGCCATTCCACTGTTGCTATTCATTCCGCTGTGATTCATATTTGGGCCGCAACTCAAATGGTTCGGCAATTGATGCTGCAAAGGAACCAGGTTTTTATTAAATTTTATTGATTGAATAAGTTAGCAAGTTTGTTTGGAAGCAAACGAATAAATGCTTACCGTTGGCTGACGGCTACGATCCTGCTGATTTTGCATTTGCTGATGCAACGATGGATTCAACATCTGTGGCAATGACGGTGGCTTACCGATTGTGTTCGGTGGCACTTGATGTGATTGCTGTTGCGATTGCTGCATTGAGATGCCACCACCGATCGCCGATATTGGATTTGAATTCATCGGACCATTGTATTTCCATTTATCTTGACTCTAAAATTGTTGAGACACGAAAGAAAAAACACAAAAATTCAATTGGAAACATTTTTTAATTTAATTTAATTTATCCAACAACAACGTTCTGATTGAAACTGAATCATTAAAATCAAAATTCTTGTTTCGTTAGTAATTGTGAGACAATGTTTGAATTTTCAATTTTCATATCACAAACACACATCGATTGGGTTAAACAATTTATCACACCCGACCGACTCATTCATTATATGTATACATACATACGCTTCTATTTTGTCCATCAAACAAATATGAATTTATAGCATAATCGATTTGGTCAGCTGTTTTATCGATTTTCGAAACGAAGCCGAATCGCTTTGCTTCGACCGATCAAATCGTTGTATTATAAACAAATCGTTCTATTTTTAAGTAAAAAAAATCCAATAAACAAGCATTCACAAGCCCCGAGTCAACACGCAGTGAAAAACTGATTAAGGCAGTAGCAACGACGGTGGATATATGTGCCCGCTAGCAAGACCACTTATACACTCATTGTTCGAATGTTCGTTTGTGAGATCGTCGACAGATTTAGTGGAACATTCCCCCGAATGTGAATCCATTAAATGTTAAATGAAAATCCAGCGCCGCACACTGCTTGAATTGGCTTGTCAATGGATTTTCGGTTGGGATCTGTTTCGGTTCACACTAATTTCCACTTTGAATAAATGAAAAGTGGTTTGGCTTGTCAAAAAGAACCATCGAAATCACATTAGTTAATTAAAAATGAAATAGACGAGAATATGGAGCGAATGCATTTTAATGGCGTTGTTTCAGTTTTTTTCATTCATTTTCCTCAATGGCTTTCGATATGATTGTTCCATTTTTTTTCTACAACGACGAAGCGGGGGTTCAATTGTATTCAACGGCCGAATACAATGAAAGTGTTTAATCATAGTTGCCACGGGCAACATGTATTCCATTTTGTCTATATTACATATTTCCATAGCTCTATCCGCTTTTTCCAGCTCTAAATCACTGTCATTCGGGTGTGTTCCAACGTATGGCTTGGTTCAGCTCAGTGTGTACTGCAGTACCAGTGCCAGTGCCAGTTCAGCTGATATTGTTCATGCATTTGCGTGCGCCAAACTTACATCCGACGACGCAATGAACCAATACACAAATACATACACAGAAGAGAGAGAAAAACAATAAACGGTTCACGAGTTGTGAAACTAAATCGACAATGCTTATTGTAATTTGCTTGCAGTGGTGAATACGAGACATCATTTTTAAATTAACGAAATTCCAAATTCTTCAATTGGATGATTTGGTGTTACTGTAGTTGTGTGAGCTGGACTCGCATTTGTTTTTCTCTTCTTTTTTTGCATAATAACTCAGGCGAACGACTTTTCGGATGAATGAAAAAATGCAACCAACACCATGTATCAAATAGTTTTGGTTTTCCGCTATAAACACAAAGAACAATGAATGTTACCAATGGCAACTATGCACCACTGTAGCTATTGTGTATCATCTATATATTGTGTTCGTTGTATATGGCTTGTTTGGCCTGTATGCGTTGTTGCCGCCACTGCTGCTGCTGCTGCCCGGAGAGTTCAGGCATACACAATGCACAATGAATACATATATCATTTACTCTCATTCTCCATCTGCATTGGCATAGCAACGGGCACTGAGAGTAACATAGAGAATGGAAAATTTTTACCGAATGTCGGAAACCCGCGCACGATGATTAAACCATATCGCATCCCATTGCAGTGCATAGAGTGTCTGTGCCCCCAGCACCAATATCAGCGGTTATTCGTGGCTCAGTCAGTCCCCCTGTACTTCTTCAGCTTTGGGTAAGAACCCAGCATGTAAGAGCGACGTGAAAGAACGTGAGCGATCGAGAACGACGTGAAAAAGACGAAGAGAGAGAAACGAGAGAAAGAGAGAGAGAGAGCCGAGATGACGAGAGTATATTATAAAAAATGGATGGGCAAAGTAACGAAGTAACTGAAAACGCCGACAATGAAACGGCAACGAACATTATGCAGAATGCAATCGTTTTTCATTTAGAATGTATAGTGTTGTGTATGTGTTTTTTTCCCTCATCTTGCAGCGTCAAAAATCTCCGGACTATTTTCTGCCTGATGATTTTGTGAGCGCAATAGCAGCTAAAGAGGAAACGAATCACGTCTTGTCTTATAAAATGAATCTGATATATGAACTTTTACATTGTGTTGTGTGCCGTACACACAATGTGAGACGAAATAGCGCTGGAATGGGTACAAAATGATTCGAACGAGAATATGTGGTGTAATGCAACCAAATAGAAGGAGAACTTTTGCTGCCACAATGTGAAAATATGAAGCGACTCTGCATGCAGAACATGAAATTGATAAGAATCACGGTAGACGGCAAGAATCGGATGCAGAGCGAACTGCAAGAATTGCAATTTGAATCAGCAGCAATAGAAAGAGGAGACAAAAAAAAACTTACACACACATTATGATCTCAAGCGATTGCGTAAAAATAATACTCTTTTTTTTCGAAATAATTCGACTTGACTTGACTTGTCTTCCGTATCGGTTTTGAAGCACCGTCAATGCATTTCACTCGTGATGATATGGAATTTCAATCAAACATTGCACACAAATGAAAACCATAACAACATTAACAAAATTGCACTATGGAAATGGAAATAAAATTAGAGGAATTTCAAAGTAATGGCTACTTACATCGATAATAGTTTCGTCGCCAGATGCCCAGCGTGGTGGCGGCTGCGGTGTTTGCTTGTGGGAAAAATGTGGAAAATCAGCTTCATGTGGATGTCGTTGGAATACGTAACCAACGGCCGCATCGTCTTGCGATCGATGTGCCGATGGTCCTCTGCCACCATTCATATCGTCGTTTGCACCCAATAGTTTCATTTTAAATCACTTAATTTTTTTCTCTCTTGATTTTTCTCTTTGTTAATTTTCTCTATTTTTTTGCTCTCTTTCACTTGTCGACCTTTTGTTCTGTCGTTTCACACTTTTTTTTCACTATTCTTTTTTTTTAAAAACCTTTTACAATTATTTACACCGGGAAATTGCGTTAAATTTTCTTTCTTTTTTTACACTCGTTTTAAATGCAAATCACGCAGTTAACTTTCTTTTTCTGTTGGTTCATCAGCTGAAAAAAAATAACAAAGAATTTATAAGCTAATTGAATTTTTTTTCTGTGTACATTTTCATTGTGTTCTACTGTTATGTGTTACATCACACGGGTTGAATGTATTTTGGGCCGTATTTTTGGTGCATGATGACGATACAATGGAAAAAAAGAACGAAGGAAGAATTCCAGAATTAGGTAAATACATTTCATTTAGTGGTGTGATTAGAGAGTATGGCTCATGTCATGATGCCCATTTTTTTCATTTCATGTGTTTCATCGTTCGTCGTCGCTATCGTCGGTGGCTTAACACCTGAAATTCGCAACCGAGCGAAAACAAAAACACCGCAGCGATGAAACGCTATTTAGGCCCGGTGTTATGCAAGGAGAGGCAATGAAATTCGTTGGTATTGCATAAAATATATAGAACGAAAATTACATCTAAAGTGCAATTCACATAATAAATGGTTGGCTTCGAATACGAAAGCACACACACACAGCGAGATCAAGAAATGCATCGGCAACGTTTTACAAATGAAAGGTTCAAAATGTGTGGTTTCCGTCTGCTCGTTATATTTGTGCACTGTTCCACACTCCATACACACACATAATTCTCTCACATTCACACATACTCATCAACCCATCGCATTCGGTTTCGCTTTTTTTTGTCTTGTCTTTTTTTCGCTTGTGTGTTTTTTCAGATTTTTTGAGCGCAAAGATAATGGAAGAACAAAAAAAGCCTTGCTTGGCTCAGCGGTGAACAGCGAATCGACAACAATGAAGAAAAAACGACGAGAGAGAAGAAAAAAAACAAGAGAGAAGACGTAATAAAATTGATGATGATGATGGTGCGCGTTGCCGATGACGATTATGTACATTAAAAGAGAAACACACCGAAGCGAAAACATTTGGCATGCATGCTCCACTCTTGCTGCTGCTTCTTATTCTTCTTCGGCAGCAACAGCAGCAGCGCTTCTTTTCGTTCCACAGCGTCATTTTATTATGTGAGAGAGTGAGAGAGAGAGAGAGAGAGAGAGGGAGAGAGGGAGAGAGGGAGAGAGAGAGAGAGTGAGAGAGTGAGAGAGCTTAGCGAATACGAAAATTATTTTTAAATTTTCGAGGTTAACGCATTTAATTGTGTCGCACTCGTTTTATTGCAAACGCGTTCTCAATGCTACAAACAAAGTCAAAGCGTGTTTGGAGACGAGTTCGGTGTGCGTCAAAGCCAAAAAGGAGGCAAAGAAACGAATACATCAAGACAGTAAGACAGCCGCGGCAGCAGCAGCAGCAACGGCGAATATCAAATTGGCTATAAATGGACCGGCTAAACGTGTTGAAATATGATTCAAAATGTTATACGCTATTATTTGCAGTGTTGATGCGATAAAGACAAAAGTAAAACGAAAAAATGGCTTGTTTAGCAAATGTTTTGCTGGTTTATTATTGAATGAAGATTCTGATGCCCGATGCACAATGCACATACAACATAGCATACGTATTATGAGCATATGTACAGCAACGGCAGCGAGGCGACGCAAATATCAAAACCGATAAAAAAGAAGTTTTGCCATTTTGCGACCAAGCAAGAGCACGCGAGTTTGAGAGGTTGAGAGCATATTTTCGTGAACGGGGGGCATCACAATGTCAATGTTCACATTTGTGCCAAATTAAGCGTACTTTCCGAATAAATTTGTAATAAAGACTGAAAATTATCATTGCGACTGAGACACACACACACACACACACCAGTGGCGTAACTAGAATTTTTTTTTTTTTTGGGGGGGGGGTGGTTTTTCGATTTTTCACAAGTATTAGAAAAAAATGCAGGGACGATTTTCTGAGGATATTTAAAGTGATCATTTTTGAGGTCTATAAACGATCAACTTAGAGTATAGGGAATGTGTTTTCCAACTTGAATTTCCAACCGAAGTCTTCAAAAGAGTTTGTCATCCCATGTGAAAATATATTGACTGACTGCTTAAATCGATTGAAAGTGATTCAATTCACAGATAGTTAAATTGGTTTTTGGAACCTTAACGAGAAATAGTCGGCTTAAGTCACTTCTCAGTCAGTCGTTTTATTTCAAACATATTGACTGAAGAATAACTATCAAGAGACTACAGCCGTCTATTTCGTTCGAGATAATCATTTTCAGTTGGCCAAAATGTCCAAATTAAGTGATTGGCATCTCAGACGATATAGTTCTATATAATGTTGCTCATAGCTACACCAAAGAAACTATTGCTCATGTGGCGAGCGAAGCGAGTCGAAATTTTTGATTTATAATATCCTGAAACTCAATTTTCCCTTGATTTATTGTAAAATTTTCTTTGGGACGATTTCATTTTGGTGGATTTCAACCCCAAAACCCCCCTCTAGTTACGCCACTGACACACACACACACAAAGAGAGAGGAAGAGCCCAAAACTTGCATGGTTTTGTTGAAACATTTCTACATACATACATTGAATTAAATGAAGCGACGCAAAATATACAGAGGATTTGCAGTAACTACGCAGAGTAATGACAGAAAGTGATTCTGGTGCATCTCAATGTACACGAAGCGAATACCAAGCTCAAAATACACAATGTGGATGAAAAGCCAAAATCGAAAACCATACTATAGAAATATTTGGAGCTGTGCGAACGCTTTTGTTTGGCTCACAATTCAGTTGAATACTGTGTGTGCGTTTTCGATCCGAGAGCAAGCGAGAGAGAAAGAGGATCAAAATCACCACAAAAAAATGTATACTTAAACAAAGCGCTACAACATTCGAAAATTGTTTCTCTCACATCAACATGCAAAGGCTCGACTTTGAATGTTACGCATTCATTATGACATTACGAGGCAAGAAATTTTTCGTGTTTTTTTTTTCTCTTCTCGTTGTTGTTGTCTGTTTCGTAGCGAGATACGGATTCTCCGTGCGGCCTGTGTAGCACGAGTGTGAATGAACAGAAAATGTGTACACACGCTGAGCTCGCTCGGGAGGGCGAAAGAGAGGAGAAAGATTATAGAACAGACGACGCACAATAACAAGTATATCGAATGAATCCATTTGTGAAGAGCCTCTGTTCCATGCTCTTTGCTGTGTTCGCTCTTGCTCTATCTCTCTCGCTCACTCACCCATACACTCGAATGAGCGATACACGCCGATATATTCGCATCAGACCCACCGACTGTGTATACAACGAATGATTATAATTCAGGCATACTACGTTCTGCCTTATAGTACGGCCGATACAAATACGGAATGCCATGAAGAGAAACAAGAATTAAAACTAAACTAAAGCAATACCAAAAATGATCAACCCAAACGAATTTTCGAACAATACACACAGCACAAGCTAGCATTCTGAGCCAAGCATATATACACACACACACATTTGCTTTAATCACGTTTCATTTTTGCCCGTTTTGCTGCTTCTTTTTTTCGAAAAAAAAGAGAAATATAAAAAATATTGTGTGTTTTCTTCGAATTGGTCGATTGTATTCAAATGGAATTGCTTCTATCCTGAGTGTGTCTGCTGTGAATTGATTGCATGCATGAATAAATGAATTACTCATAGAAAAATGAATACGAGATTCTCCTGGAATTATTGACTGGCTTTGGTTGTTTTTCCTTGTCAGTCATCTATCCAATGCACTTTTAATCAGAGTGGAGCTTCGTTGGCTTGGTAACGTTGTCCATCAATTTCGAATTCACTCAGTTGATAATAACAAGTTGACACACAACAACAATAAGGATCCACAAATGATTGGGGTTCCTTTCACTGGAAATCTTCATTTACCAAACAATAACACTCTGTCAATGGTTCCCCGAGCACAACAATAGATCCATTGATAACAAAACTCGGTTTACGCTCAATATTAGGTATTCGTTTCATATGTATATATCAAAAAGCCATAAGCAAATCAGGCATAATGAACTGTTCAATCTACTGGATTGTTGGGAATGATGGCTGCCACAAGGTGAAAATACAAGGTATACCAATCATTTCTTTATCTATTAAATGATATTCTATTACTGTCCCAAACATTTCGAAGAAACGACCCGAGAGCGCCGTTGCATTTGCAAAATTTACACCATTTCAAAGTGTTTCATGTACACACATGTTCCATTTGCTATCTGCCATTTGCAATAATTAAAAATAGTCACGATTACGTGCGATCGACACACAAAAGCCATCATCGTACAGACACAAAGTGACCGTGTGCGAAAATTCACGCGTAAACAACACACTCAAATTGGAAATTTCAAATGAAGCATACATGGACGATGGCCGATGAATTGCATTTGTGTCTATTGTGAATGCGGCGAAGTGTCGGGAATTGTGTGTTTGCCCAATTCTCACATTGACTGCTGCATTCGCCTCGTAGTACGATGACCTTCGATTGCAAAAAATTGCGATTATCGATTTTTGGCGCTTAGTTTTATCGCTTCGTAATTACAGAATTTTGCGATACGGCCAACTTTATTTGCCTTTCTTTCTCTCTGTCTTCCTCTCATCTATTCTATTGTCAACGAAAACGGACGGTCGAATTCAGTACATTTCCTCGTGTTCAATAAATGTGGAATTAAATTATACTGACACAAATATTAAATTAAATTTTAGCACAGTCAGCGTGCGGCCAGAGTATGTGCGAATGCGACGCTCTCTCGTTCGATAGACAGAAAAAATTGTTGAACCTTCAATGAGAAACAAAGAGCATTCGGAGCAATCGGGTAATCGAGGTAAAATCGAATCCAACAACGAAATTGAAGAAACAGCAGAAGAAGAAGAAGAACGAAACGAACGAAAAAAAACATATCCATATAATTTACAGATGTGGATGTGTCACGACGCGTAAAGTCTATATATTTATATTACTACACTATAGACATGTAAAAAGGAGTACAGTGGAGAGCAGCAGCAGCAGCAGGAAAAAATAGCGTCTTTTCGCGCGAATACTCACAACAAAATATAATGCCAATGATTTGTGTGCTTGTATTTGGATCGCCAACATAAAATATATACTATATAAAAAAACCACGACGAAGGGTACACATGCACATACACACACACACACACACCGAATGGGAAAAAAAGATAGGCGCGAATGAGTTAAAATGAGACAGAATGCACACATACACACACGCTGCATGCAACACTGAGTGGATCCAGCCTTTGTGCACTAAAATGAGTGCTCAATTTTTATAGAATATATATCGACGGGAATGAAGGCGCTCGCACGCTCAAAAAAAGAGAGACACACAAAAATAAACTTGGTTATTTATTTTCTGTTTCTTTCGTCGGCTATTTTTTTTATTCGTAAATCAGCCATGCAGTGCAAATGCGCGCGTTGCGCACACAAATGAACGAACCGACGAATGAACGAACGAAAGAACCGACAAACACACCACACAAGAAAAAAAAAAACCATCACCTCTTATATTTATTGTTTATGGCTTTTTTATCAATTTCTATTTTGTATACACATCGTTGCCATTGAATGCGTTTTTTTTTTCGTGCGAACGAAATAGCATTTGACTTAGTGTGTAAATTCGTGTATGGTTTTGTTGACAGACGATGATGCTGGTGTTTTCTTTCTCGCTCATTCGTCGTATAATACAACATCGACGACGACAAAAAATACATATGCCAAAATATACTTGGGCCTGTGTGATGGAACCGCGAAAATGCAAACATGTACGAGGGATTTAAGTACTGAATGAAAAATTTGTGGCTTCTGTTTGCGTAGAACGTTTTTCTTTTCTTGTCTCTTTCTTCAACGCGGCGGTTTTGACAGAAAAGACCGCTTATGATGAGATTTTTTGGTTCACTTACACTTTAGATATTTCTTTTTCATACAAAACAACGTTTGTATTCTATGATGAAATATTGACAACTTTTTGCTGTTGATTTTTGTTGTTGTTGTCAATCTGAAGCGTTGTGTTCTCTATTTGCTTGGGTCACTTGTCACACAGATTATATATTCTGCGTGTTCACTTCGATAACGATGATAATTTTTTTTCACTTAAAGAAGAGACGCACTTTTCTTCTTTGGTCCGATCTAGTGATTTTTTTCGACCAAAAATGTAGAAAACAAATTAAAAAACCTCACACAGAAAATGAAAGCGGTTTGTGTTTATTTTGATTCACCTGGATTTATGTAACTCTTTTTCTTGTATTCCTTTTGCTGCGATTTTGCTTTTGCCGTCGATTGAATCAAAATTATATACAATGCGTTTCGAATTTTATTCAAATATACACAGGCTATTTACAAAGATAAGCGACGAAAAAAAATGAACCTGGAAATTTACATTTTCAACACTTTGAGTTCGATTCACGAAATTCGGATCGCAGTTGAGGTTTTGTCTCTGTTTTTGTTATTCGTTTCGGTTTTTTTTCTCTCTCTCTCTCTCTCTCTGTCGTGGATTTTGCGTTTTGTGTGTTTTTTTTTCTTCTTTCGATCGGGTTGATACTGTACAAACAAATTGAGCGGATTTTGTTGCCTTGTCGTTTTGCACAAAATGAAAAAAAAACCGAAGAATGTTCTGCTCAACAGAGCCACACACACACTTCACATATAACAATAGAACGGATGGATTTTCACCAAATTGAATTTTGTGTCGGTTTGCTTGGATGATCGGCGCACGTCAGACAGCAAGTTTACAATGGGCTGTCCATTCGGTGACTGGCAAATTTTCTAAGATTGGTTTGTTTTTTTTTCTTGGTTCAACACACCGCTTACGTGCTATGGTTCTCGTAGAGCCGAATTGACACTTCTTTTATTTTGCATTCAGATTTTACACACTCTATATGTCTATTGCAATGTTATTAGCTTCCAATGCAATGTCTACACAATTCCCGGCAAGACACACACACTCACTTATACAAACGCAACGCTTTTTGCTTGCACACACCTAAATCAGTTTTCATGCATAAATGCCGAACTCAATTCAGCAGCAGCAGCAGCTCAGCTCAGCTCAGCTTGAATGCACACTTGAATCACATACATATATATATAAATACGCGTGTTCGGCACGGTCACGGGCCGCATTCGGATGGATCCTCGACACTGGCAACTACGATAAAATGCTCGTTTTCTGTATTTAGTGCGATACGATGAGTCGGATTTTTCCTCTTCTCACATTTGTGTACACGGGTATTATTCGCACAAAAGTTTTACATGGGAGTACGTGAATTGCACGCAGACAACGCTTAATCCCAGTAAAGCAAGCAAAATTCTGGACAAAATTATTTCGTCGTTTTATTCGCACTACACTTGCGTTTGGATACTAGTAGCAACAATGATGTCGATGTTGGTGTTGATGTTGCTTGGCGAAAACTGACTCTTCAACGCAGAAAACCAATGAAAAAGGAACTTTTTTAATTTTCTGATCGATCGTTGAATCTAAATTCCAAGTTACACGATTTGTCAGCGTTTGTGTGCCTCTCTGTTGTTTTCGGTTGTGTGCGAAATGATTGAACCGTTGATTTTATGGTTGCTAACACAATCAGTCTAATTAGAATTGAAGTGAGTTGAAATTATGCAACTTCCAAATTGGTATGGTTTTGAAGACTTCTTTGCGCATAACAAGTTCAAAATATGCGCGAAACGGACGCGTGTTATTCGAACACAAAAAATCAACTGGATGCTGAGTTAATTACAAAAAAAAGTATCGTCGTTTCTCTGTTGTTGTTTTTTTTTTACAAATTATGTACAAGTTCGCTGATGTGTTCGGTTCGGTTGAATTCCATTGAGGTTTTTTTTTGCTGTCTCGGCGTTGAAATGCGTGAATATTTTTGCAGTGGATCGATAATGGGTTCCCTTCAATTTCAATGGCAACTGATAATTGTCAACACAATAATCACACAGTCTCGCAGGCAGGTAATGCGATGACGCTCCGTCCGAAATGGCTACTTAAATTGTCACTGCACGAAACGAAGCAACGATTGAACGATACAAATTGTGTGTATACGAATTGTCACCAGTGAGCGAGGGAGAGAGTGTGTGTGTTGTTGTTGTTTTTGGAGCGGCAATGATGATGTTTGCACAAAACAGAGCTGAATAATGAACCGCACGCGCACACACTTCACTTCCCAAAGTCAGTGCAGTCACAAAATGTGGATACCAACACGAAATTTTTCGGTTTTTTCGAATTATTTTTGTGTTTTCTTCAATTATTTTTCTCTTCGGTTTGTTTCTTGCTGTTGTCGCGAACGTAATGTCACATCGATGATATTGCTATGTTTTTTGTTTGTCCGATTTGAATGCGTTCCTTTTCTAAATATATTATTTATTTGTTTGTTGTTTAGCGTTTCATTCGATCCATAAAACTGTACAATGAAACGACACTTTCGATTGTTGTCTGTTGGAATCGAAAATATTATGTACAATTTACAAACAGAACCGAAATGACACAATGGCTTTTTTCTTTCTGAATCGAACTAAAGAACGTAAATTACAAGAATGTACAGGACAGTGTTTTTTATGTTTCAACAAGAAAAAAAAATTTATACACACAGTTTATGTTTTTCTTTTCGTTTGATGTTTTTGGATGTTTGTTGGATTATATATTTTGTTATACACACGAGTGAAAAAGTTCCGAAAATTTTAATATTTATATGAAAACACAACAGCCAGCGTGATTGTGTATGTTTGTGTGAGGGAGCAAGAGAATGAGAAACACTGAGAGTCACTATACAAGCGAATGACGACGACGACGGCGGATACGATGAAAACGGCGACGACGACAACGACGACAACAGCGATGACTACAACGGCACCAACGACCGAAAGGAATTAAAATTCAGACTAAAAACGCACACACGGTACGAAATAGCAACAACAATTACTAAGCACGCACAAATACACTATACTCGATGCCGCTACCAAATGTGTATATGGCAACGATGTCTGTCTCTTCCTCGGTTCTATATCAAGCGAAGAAGCATTGAGGAAAAAACAACACACACACACACAGAGTACGCTTTTTTCCGTGTGGTTCTTTGTTGTATATCGCAGGAATATTCACACTCACAATTGAACTGAGCGGAGTTGTTGTTGTTGTTGTTGTTGTTGCTGGTTCTTTCTCGTCGTCCAGCAATTCTTTCGATGGTCGGGTGATTTTTGATGGATTCTTTTATCTGTTATTCGCTTTTTTTCCTCATTCACTGTATTTTCTTTTAATTCACGAGGTGCTCTTTTGCTCTTTCTCTGTCTCTGTCTCTGTTCTTTTCTCTTTTCAAACAAAACTCGTTTGCAGCACACGATGAAAAGCCGAGAAAAACACAGAAACTGCGATGGTTTTTTTTTGTTTCTTGCCGTTGGTCTTTGCATTCACAAGAATGCACAAGAATCAAATGAGTTTCGATGAGAATTTTTGCACAAATTTGTTGATTTACTTCGAAAATCACTTCCTTTTCGGTCAAATTTGATTATTCAAACGTTCTTCACTGGATATTTCTCTGGATATTATTGTTTTTTTTTTATCGATAATGAGTTTTGTTTACGATGGTGCGATGTTTTGTGAATTTTCTATTTTGTTTTGTTTTTTTTTCAATTTGAAATTGGTTAAAATAAACTGTACACAAACTATTTACACGGAAACTATTTGTTACGTTGAATTTTGTTGGTTGAAATCTTGTTGTTGATGCTTTTTTTTACAATTTAAAAGTGTGAGTAACGCGATAAAATAATCCGAAAATTAAACTAAAGATACTTTTTTTTATACAAAGAAAGCGAAATTTCTTGTTTGTTTTTTTTTCTGTTTTAATAATATTGAAAATGTTTTCCTTCAAAAACTGGTGGATGTTGATGTTTGTTTTAGCTTTTGTAAGGTGTTTTTTTTTTGAGAGTCGGGTTAATGTTTAGTCGTTTTTTATTATTATTTACTATATAGTTTACAAATTTTATCGAATAAAAAACTGAACACAACGCACTCGGTTCTGCTCTCGGTGTGTGATTGAGGTGGTGGTGAACTGAGCCATTCGATTGTTCTAACTAGTCGATTAAGTCTCTTTTTTCGAATCGCTTTGCCGTTTACTACTACCAAGCAAACTTATCGCCATAGGAGAGATATCTTTAGCGCAACGCATTTGCACCTATTCGACGCATGCAGTTGGATAAAAACACACAAGTCATTTCATAATAAATCGTTTTTAATGGGCACATCGATAATTTCTGGGCAATGTCGACTGTACAATTCAATCGTGTTAAAATTCCATAAACAACAATTATGCAAACCATTAAGATACGGGTTGCTAAAGATCAATCCAATATAGCGCTGGTCGCATACAACATTACATGGCTGCTTCTTCTTTGTCGTTTTCCTGATCTTTTTTTTTTGTTTCGTGTGTCATTTATCGGTCTTTGCGTGAGCATGTGTGCGTGTATGCCTATTTGCTGGTGCCGTATATAAAATTCTATACGAATTCTATACCAATTGCTTGAAGTTTTTCGGTAGTGCAGCTGGTTTTGCACACGAGCAGCTCGTCTCTGTGAGTATGTGAGCGTGTGTCGGTGTACATGCGAATGAACTTCCCTAAAACGAATAGTGAGAAAGTAAAACGAAATGTTCTACCGTGATCAGTTTGGGTTTGCATGTATTGCGGCTCGGTGGTGTGCTTGTGTGCGGAGACAATTTTTAGGCGAAATGAGCGACAACGCACATTACCTTACTCAATAATTCAACCATTTTTGAGCGTTCTCCATGAGGCAGTGACAAAATCAGCCACAAATACCATCAAATATCCGCCATATTTCGACAACACACTCAATATCGGTATTCGGTATGTGGTATGTGTGTGAACTTGCGACAGTTTCTACTCTCTTTCGTGTATGTGTCGCTCTCATCGTTTCTCTTTCTCTCTCTCGCTTGTGTGTGATTCATTCGCAAGAATGGAAAACCGCGTGCGCGTGTATGTGTTATTTTCGGCATAAACGGGAAAAAGCGCCTTTGAAACGGCTACAGTAGCAAAAGGCTTGGATAAAGGTAGCATGAAAATGTTGTTTGGTGTGCTCTCTGTGCATATACAATGTATGTATATGTACGCTGTTTGGCTTGCCATCGGAGTCGGGGTTCACTCTCGCTCTCATTTGTAAAATGCATGAGCCAATATCAGCCATTAATGAGCAATCTGCATTATTAATGTTCTGGAGACTTCTCAACGTGTTCGATCCACGTTCAATTTTTTTTCTCGCTCCGCTTTTTCTCTTTTACTTTCCATCCATTTGCATTGACTGCAAAATGTGCGCTCCATCGGGCGGACTCATTCGAGCTATTCCCGACGATGAATAATTTCATTTGATTGCACTGCTGTATGCGATGCGGCAATAATGTTCAACGATATAACGAGGCAAAATGACGAGCGACGAAAAAAAAACCATTCAACCGAACGAATACCATGACATTGATTAAGCAATAGGTTTTTTTTTGTTTATTTGCGTTGTTTGCTGTTTCAGCATTGCGCATTCGCATAGATACATAGAGCTCTGTTGCTTGTTTCCACTGTGTGTCTGTCTCTCTCATGCCATCTTTCTCTGTCTCACGCTGGTATGCACGCGAGAGCGATTGGTGTGTGTTAGTGTATGCATATGTCATGAGTAGCTCGCTCCTTGTGAGCAGCTCATCTCATGGGCACTGAGAGTGTATAGCAATGAGAATCAGCGAAAGCGTTTGTTTGTGCGGTTATTTCGTTAGCTTTTGACGGCGCTGTTTCACACTCATGGCTGACAGACGTGCGCCTCTGTCTGTGGTAGTGCATTCTGTTTTTGTTGTCACACACGAAGAGCGTGTAAACGGGAAGAACTGAAGAAAAATGCGTACGCTGTAGCACAGTGTGCGTGTGTTTGTTTGTGCAAATGTATGTGATGATGGATTGGGGTAGTAGATTTCGCTTTACCTGACAGTCTCTGCAGCGAATCATGTCGAATGTAAATATAAACAAATTTCAAATTAGCCGCAAAAGCTGGAATAGATTTCACGACTCGAATGACGGTTAGAATCATTCCAAATTTCATGTTCCATTCAGTTTAATGGCAAATTACTGGGGAATTCCTTTGTGGAATTTACGCGTTGCTTTAAATTTAGCAGTAGCCATTAAATATCCATTACTCACTTTGTATTTTTCCACCATATCACATTTGCTAGCAATGATTCTCAATCAAACAACATCATTTTAAATCTTAGTTAGAAAATGTGTTCTTTATTCGACTATTTTGTTGTTTTTATTTCAATATTGTTTTTCACGTTACCTATCTGCATTTTGTTTTGTTTGTCATTCCTTATAAAGATCGTTTGATTGCGGACAAAAAAATGAGCTCAACCCTTTCATTTTATTTTTCATCGGTATTTTCTTTTTATTCATACAATTTGTGTTGTTGTTGTTGTTGTTTTTTTTGTTTTTTTTCCCTTTCATTTTTCATTTTCTCGCTGCACACACTGACGAAAAGTCAAAGTGTTTTGGGTTATGCATGTTTTCTTTGTGTCTCTTTCTATTCGATAGCCTTACATTGTACTTCTTTACACCTAGGATTATTTATGTATAATTTTCTTTTGCCGATATTTCTATGATCGATTCATTTTTGAATATTTTGTTTGTTTTTGTGGGGATGTGTGTATGTGTGTGTGTGTTTTTATGTGTCAGTTTGTTTTGAATTGAGTGTCATCAGGCTCTGAGATGGCCAGAGCAATTTTTTTTGCTTTTTCTTTGCATACAAATCGAATGGTTTTTTTTTCTCTCAATCATCTTTTCTTACATTTTTCTCCATTTTACAATCTATGTGTAGCGTCTTATTGAAGTATTCTTTGTACATATGTTATGTTTAAAATTAATTGGCAAAATAAAACTAATGAACAGAAAAAGCATCGATGCACGCCGAATCAAACTGAATCATTTTCAGCTTCGGTACATTGATTTAATTGCATTGAGGTGAGAACAACGAATTGTTGTCAAAACAGATTTGTTGTATCTTTAATGAACCATCGTTTGAACAGCTGGAATTACTTGTCAATTCCGATCGATCGAGAAAGATGTTCAAATTCCGTGTGCGTCGACAGTTTCAGTTGACGGCATATGCAACGCTCATTGTCTGAATCATGTGTGTATTTTTGCCTCTCATCAATTTTTTTTTGTTTCTTGCTAAGCACAACTTAAAGAACAAAATTAATTCAAACGTACGTGTTTTCAAAGGAATTTTCCCAAATCGATTGTTTTTTCTCTCTCTCTCTCCCTCTCTTTTCATAATTGTTCTTTCATTTTCAAATTAATAAATAAATGTCTCTTTTATGTGAAATTACAACAAATAATAAAAATTAAGAACTAAAAACGCGAAAAAAAGACATTGGCCGAATTGTATAGAAACCATTGCAACAATGAAATTAATTAGTGAATGTGTGTGTTTGTTTTTGTTTTTGTTTTTTTTTCTTTCAAAGAAAGTAAATTTCTAGAGAAGGTGGATGATTTCGAAAATTAACTTATTATTACAATTTTTTTTTTATTCCAACGAATTTGAATTCATTCTCCAAGGTACCCATTTCTAATGCGAGCATCTCTCATTTAAAATGGCTTTGATCATCTCTGTGGATTGAAGCCGAAAAGATGAAACAGAAGGGGGGTGGGTAAATACTCTCATTTTAAATGCCAATAAGATCTATGTCTTATCAAGTATTACATTGAACTCAAGATTGAACTGCAACTCAATAAATATTTACACAGAAAAGAAAGGAAGTTAAAATAGATTGGATGCACCTTCAGAAGGAAGTAAAAAGAATCACGTGTTTCTTCTTTTTTTCCCATAAATTTAAGAAATGCAATCAAGCAATTGTTGATGTAGCATTAAAAATTATAAATTGTTGGCGTTTCATTTATTCTTCTTTTTATTATTGTTTTCATTCCGTAAAATTGATCCGATAAATTTGTTTTTTGGGTTGGATCGTAAATGTTTTGGCTAAAATTGATAATTTCATCATTTTTTTTGGATTTTCCTTTTTTCTAAATTGAACTCACATTCTCATTTCTTATTTCGATAATCGAAATGCCCTTGTTCTCTATGGCCGGCTTTTTATTGCTTGCCGCATGCCTTAGTCATAATTTTATGTTGTGTGCGGATGAGTGTTTGTTTCGCGTTAAAAAAGATCTGAACCTTACTTCTTCTTCTTCATTTTTTTTTACACCATTTCTAAATTATACAAAAAAGCTCTTCATTTTTTTTTCTTGTTTGAACTTTTTGTTTTGCCGATTCATCATTTTGACGGTCGCTTATGCTTCATTTTTTGCATTAATAATAATTAGAATTAATTTCATTGTTTTCTTTTCCTTCTTGTTGTTGTTGCTGTATTATTTAGACACACATGAAGTTTTTTTTTGTATAGCCTAAGAACCTAAAAAAAGTTGATTTGTATTGTTTTTTCGCCCCAGTATTTGTTATTTTCGCTCTTATTTTGTTTTCAGTTGTTGAACTGCCAGCAAATACAATTTCGATCAAGTGGACGCCTAAAAAGCAACAACTAATTGAGATGATAACGTTTCCTTGTTGTTGTTGTGCGGAAAATAAAATCCGAAGCTTCCATGCGCCGTGTCGATTGTGGGATGCTGTTTGTTTTCCAAACCTGTGCCCAAACACCTGAGACCAGCAGCTGAAGACGATTTGGATGCGCCAAAGTTGAACGAAAGAAAAACACATACATTGCTAAACACATTCCTACGTGACTACATACAATTATCAAAATCGAATAAATCGCATAATCCTTCTGAGTTCGTAAGCGTAAAGTTATAGTCGTTGTCCAATGGCGGTTCGATTGCAAGGAATCGAGAAAAGGCATCTGCACTCAGAAAATCTACAGAGATAAAAAGAAAATTCCAAAGAAAGAGAAAACGATTTTTGATCGCAAGCCAATCAAAATTTGATTGCAATAACGAGCAAAATATCGATTCGAATTAGTAAAATGGCAACTCGATTGATTTTATTGTTCTCTTATGATTATTCTATATTCGAAAATGGAATTGAAAATTTGGATATAAATTTTTGCTGATGGGAAATTTAACGTTCACAAGAAGTCCAGAAGTGGTTGAATGGTTGCATGTGTTAGAAGCCAAAATGTTAGAATGGATTTTGCGCCAGAGCTGAATCTCATGGTGCTACAAATTATCAAATACCAATGCAGACCCACGAGATTTCAGTTCCGACACAAATCCAACGTGTGCCGATTTTTGAGATGGTGTTAAATGTGCAACAGAAAACAAACCAACAAAATGTAATGTAAATGGTGAATTTTATTGTACTAAAGCCATTGCATAAGCTCTAGAATGAATATGGTTAGTATTGCATTGATTTGAGTTGCATTTTTTGTACATGTTTGTTGCTGCAGTTATTTGAATCAATTTTTTTTTGGTGAGGGAATACGGTTAAGTGATGATGGAAATGTTGATGAATTTGGAGTTCGCCAAGCAAGAACTCAGACTGTGATGCGATTGTAACCCTAAATTAGTGAAATTTGGGTGGACAATTTTATAACGCAGTCACAGCCAGAGCTCCCGCTCAGAAAGCTCCCACCCTTTTGTCAATTTCATGATTCATGAAATGTGATTTGTGTGTGGTTGATGCATCCCATTGAGTGAATTTAAATGTACATGTGGAAAAAACCTCAAAAAAAAACCAAGAAAACCCAAAAACCAACGAATAAAAATGGCTTGATTACTCACCGGAAGCGTTGTCTTGCGACATGATTCCATTCATTGGGCTAAAGTTAACCATGTCCGAGATGAGAGAATTCTGTAATCGGTTTGGTTGCGGTGTTGACGGCAGTTGTACCTGTGTGTGCTGATCCGAATTTTGTACGGATTTATGGTTATTATTGTTCAAAAGCATCGAAGTGTCATCGTCGCCGAAGATTTTCGACAAATGACCGTTGCCATTTGTACTTGATTGGCTATGTGTTGGCTGTGATTTTGACGCTGAATGCATATCGATCGATTGGATTGGCTGCTGAATTTGGCCATAGCACGGAACAAATTCACTGTACTCGCTCAGCTTCACATCATTCTTAAGAGCACTGCTGGAATTTTGACTATTTTGCGTGATCGATCGCATGGTGGAGTTGTTCATATCTTTGGCAATTGCTTCTCCATTTGACGATTGCATCACGTTACTGCTGCTCTGGATGTACGAATCAGCCTCACTAAACACATTGTTTATCAGAGCGTCTAATTCGAAAATGGTTTTTGCCGATTGCGTGCTACCTTGTGACGAGACCACGGTACTTGTTCGTCGCGAATCACATTCACTACCCAAATCATCCTCATTGCCAAGCAAAATTTTATTCAAATTACGTTGCGCAGATCTCAGTGGATATGTTGATGGTTTACCTATTGGAAAGCATTTATTCATCATTTGAACGAAACGTGTTAGAAAATGTGCAATGAGCGCTTGTTTCCGGTAGAATACTCACCATTTCCTTGATTTCTTGGGCTCAGATATTTTTCTACAATTGGCGCTACATATGGTCGGATATCGTCAAGCAATGGATCGCACGGTGGCTGGTATGCATCGTCCGGACAGAGGAATACATCGATTTCTCCTTTATCAGCCTTCAAGTGAATTTCTCTTGGTTTGTTTTCGGGCAACTGCGTAAATGGAAAATGACCAAAAATTAGCAATATTTATCATTGCATCAGATCGAACTGAACTCGAAGTCAGATGAAATACACTACTCACCATTAGTTTGGCTTCTGGCGGTGCTTTGATAACGATCACCGTTTGATCCTTGAATATGTCGATATTTTTCAAATCGCTATTCGTTACATAAGCGTGCGACGTATTTTGGAATTGCGAATTAATCTCCTCTCGAATTGTTTTGATCAATTCATCCAAATGGTTTTCCTTTTGTTCGAGCAGCTCCAATTCAAGTTGCTTGTTGGCCGCCTCATTAGCAAATCCAAATGAACTATTTCCATCGGCATTTTTGCCACATTTCCATTGAATGTTGTTTTTCGATTTTTTCTCCAGAATACCGATGCCCTCTAACACATTGGTTATATCGTAGATTCGCCGTTTTTGAACATTCAGTTTGGCCGATGCAATGTTCAAATCGACACTGCCATCGGGTGACTCTTGCAGCAAATCGACAAATTTCTTTGTAAGCAACCCCAACGATGTGTCATACCTAAGGCGCGCATAAATCAGAGGGAAAAAAAAGTTTTATTATTTAGGGATTCATGTGTTCGCCAAAGACACTCATATGCACACATAGCGCGCATACACAGTTTGTGAGCAATTTATGGTGTGGAAAATGGTATATTATTTTACCGTGTGCCTTCCGAATAGCGTTTCTTAGCTGGCGTCGTTACCGCAACAGCCGCCGCCGACGACGACGAACTAGAAGCCTTGGTGGGTGTATGTCTGGCTTGTTTAGCTGGAGTTGGTGCCATGTTCATCGGCGGCGCTGCCATATTCGAGCGACGTTTTGTTGCCTATAACGAGCACATCATCATCATCAGTTCGTGTTAGTATGTAATTTTAAGAATTGTCTTAATTTATTTGATTTTTGCAAATGGGCGAGAGATAGAGTGTGGCCGCAGCAGCAGCGAAGCGTCCAAAATGGACTCGTCTATCGCTGCAGGGGCACTTTAAATATCCCATATACATTAAAACTTACCTTGTAGTACTTTGTAATGCCAGCATCGATGGAATTGGTATAACTTTTGAAATGGCTGCTATCATCTGAACTAAGCCGTGTACTCGTTGCCGCTGCCGCCGTCGTCGTCGCTGTTGCTGTGTCGTATGACGGTTGTGGCATTGCACCGTAGCCATGGTCCAGCAGATGTGAATTGACTTTCATACTGTATTTATTATTGTATTGTAAACTACTATGTTTCGACGCATTTCCATTAATTGCACTTGTGGCCGGTCCGTATGTACTGCCACTCGCCTTTTGTACGATATAGGTTGAATTGCTCGATTTACCACCATAAGCGGCCATATTTTTCTTTACTACCGACGAATAGGACATTTTTCAATTCGATTTTCTCTCACTGTGTCTGCGTAGTTTTTGCGTTAAACGGTTTCCACTCACTCCTTCTCCTCAATCTCTTCTCTATTTCCGCCCCTCTCTTTCTCTCTCTCTCTACCGTTCTCCCTGTCACTCCAGCGATGGCTACAATTCAATGTTCGATTTTACTGTTATCACGCTACTCTCAAACTCATCACTCGTGCTGTTTGCATCACACATTTGTCAAAAATGCCATCAACAACAATTTTGCCGAGCGATTTAAAAATGTTGTTATACCGCTTGCGGTATTTGATAATTTGAAAGCGAGCGAACGATAATCGATTTCTGGCTGCAATCAAATTTAGAGATACCACGCTGATACAATCTGTACAACTGGTTGTATTTATATTCTCTGTGTGTGTGTCTGTATATATTTGAAACGAGAGAGTGATCTTCTGGGAGAGATGATTTGATTTTCGGCTATGGTATGAAATACGCGAATTTTTTTCCCAACTTGTATTTCCTCGAAGCGCCTCGCCAGACAATTTAATTACGTGGTTGCGTGTTATCAAATTTTCCGTTGAGCTTCAATGTCAATCTATGTGCTGCTACTGCTGCTGCTGCTCATGTCTGCAAATGCAAGAGAAAAACCAGACGATATTCATTAATACATATTTATGTTGCAAGTATTTTTGCCGACAGGCAATCAAAGCCCACACACAAAGAAAGGGACACACACACACATAGATAATTTAATGAACCAATTGCTACCATATTTGCTTCAAAACCGAAACCATAGCACCGGAAAAACAATTTCAACGCAAAATATTTCCATATTAATTTGGGCCGTGCACAAGAAGTGAATTTCGATGCAACACAAATTATGGCAAATTGCGATATTCATGCAAATACTTCTAATTCATTCAGACAGAAACAGTGGAACAACGTAGAACACACGAACGTATGCACAATTTCTTCGTTCATTTATTCATTGGCAAACTCGAAAATGGTATTGATTCTCTTTTTTGAGATACTTTTCGATATTGATCCTTTTCTTTTTGTCATATGGTCGTTCATTGTCGCACACGACAATGAGGTTTCTCGGCGATGATATCGTCGTGGTCGTACGAGTAACGTGCCCATAAGAAAACAAGCACATAACTGTCATTGCGAGGCAAGTAAGCTGCTGCTGCTGCTGAAATTACGAAATGGCTATTGTTTGGTTATGTTTTTGAATTTTACGTGACAGAATGTGAATTTGCTTGGGTGCTTTTTTCTCTCTTTTTTCGTCGTCTTCGTCTTGTTTTGTAGCGTAAACGAGAGAGAGAGAGAGAGAGAGAGAGAGAGAGAGCGAGCGATAGTTTTTTTTCAGTTGCCTTCAAGTTGAGAATGGAAAAAACGTGCATGCCAGAAGAGGCAGCACGATGAATGAGAACGCGCACGACCAACGAAATTAAAATCCAATTGGGTTAAATAATCGGATCATTGTTTGCACGCAAATTTTTCAGTTTGCATTTCTCAAAGTAGTTTCAAGCCATATCGTTGTAAACACACGTTGAAAGTCAGAAAAATTCAAATGTTGCACACGACACCAATCGGAGCTCTTTCGTTCCGAGTGCCTCTATCAAAATGGGCCGTACAATCGACATAGTACACTTACTTTTTTTTCTGTTCTTCTTCTTCTTGCGCTCTCATTTATAATGAATGAAAACAAAAAGTGAGAGAAAAAAAAACGCTTGTTGCCGCAATCGAATTAAGTAAAATACGAGTCTAAAGTTATTACCAACGAAAAACTATTTGCTCTGGTTGGTGTGCAGAAAGAGTGAGTGAGGTTTTTTGGTTAAAAAGCGTGCAACGAGTTGAAAATGGTGCCATTTTTATGTTCACCAAATAAGAAAATCGGCTGGTTCATTTGTTTCGTTCTCTCTCTTGAATTATTTATTTATTTCCATTGAGCTCCTTTTGATTCTTTGAATTTTGAACGCTGTACAACCAGCTCGCTCGGTCGTTCGTTCGTTCGTTCTCTCTCTGTCGTCGATGCGTTTTTCTCATCGCATGTATTGCCTCTGTTTTCCTTTCCATTTCGGTGCCCGATCGAAGTGGCCGTGTGAACAAACTGAATAACCGAGCGCGCGCTAAGCTAAGCACGGCATTTGATATTGTAGATTTTGTTTTTGTTATTGGTAAACCATTTAAATTTCAAGGTAATTTTTGTGTATTTCGTATATCATCCGTACCTGTGTGTTAGGTAGCGAATGTGTGTATTGGATCGGTCGGTCGACGTCGTAGTCGTTTGTGTGCGTATTTTATGTGTTTGTATATGGATGAGATATGCGTGATTGCCATGTTGAGGTAGTGTCTTTTATGAATCTTTAGTAAATTTTCGTAGTGTTTCTGCTCTCTCTCTCTCTCTCTCTCTCTCTCTCTCTCTCAGATTGCGCATTAGTGCGACCTTTTTGGATGAAATTTATGCTAGGGTCTTTTTTTCGGTGTGTATTCTTCCATTTCTACTTCATCTCGCTTTTCTCGGTTCGCATACGAGATCCAACAATTTTTATTTTGTTTTTGAAACACAATAGCAAATTGTCGATCCCAAACAAATCCTCATAAATTTTCACCCGATTTCTTTTTACTCATGCGAATGAAAGAATTTGCGCTAATGTTTCTTCGATCAAATTCGATACAGAATGGAGTCTGATCAGTGTCACCCAAAATCCTATGTGAAACTTTCTTTTCTTTCTTTAAAATTCTCAACCGAAAAATTACGAGCGCAAACCAAAATCAAAATGGAGGCCGCTCAGACTATCTAACGTCGATACAAACGAAAAAATGATCATTTTCTATCATATTTTTTTGGTAATTTGGACGCATCGACTGGATACGTCTTGATGATCAAACAGAAAAAGGCATTTTGATAAATGGATATTTGAAAGAGAGGGAGAGGGAGAAAAAAAGAACGAAATACCAGTTTTTTTTTATACCTAATGATCTATCGGAACGAAGGATACAATTTCAAAGATAACAGAACACAAAGAATATCTGGGGATTGTTAGGCACGACGAGCATTCTGAATAATGAACGAACCAAGTGGATAAAATTTGAAGTGATCACACAATTTCCAAGAAGGGATTCGGTTTCCCTTCGTCGACTCTTTTTCTTATCGACGAAGTTTTGGTTTTCATCAAACAGTATGTTTGTTTGATTAAAATAACTCACCAGAAGAACAATCATGAGAAAATGTATTTTTGTTGTTGGTTTCTCTCGTCTAGCTTCTTGACGCAACTATGCGGAATTTAGGGTTTTTGAATGTAATGAGTTTTCAATCGGTTCGGTTTTGCTCGATGCGGATAAATATGCATGCAATAGCATAGTAGGCTTATGCAAAGACAATAGACTTTGAAGTTCATTACACTCAAGCCGATAAACAAAGTTTATTTTTCTCCCTTGTGTCCGTTTCGGGTTCTATGACCTCACAGACAGCGTCACAATGCAAATAATAGAAATTCGCCGAAAACTTGTGTGTGAACAAATGACCAAACACTCACATTTTCGTTTCACGTTCTTGTGTTTACCAAGTCGGGCGGGCTTCCTTTGCAGCAATTAAAATAGAGAGCTAATTACACGTGCACAAGGAGCGCGCGAGGTGATTGACTTAACATTTATTTTAATTTTATTTATCACATGTAAACTTGTTGGCGTCGCGCTGTTGACTTTGTTGTGTTTAGTTTAGGAAACAAACAATAATTAATCAGGTCAAATTCACAGTTTAATTTAAATAAAAAAAATGCATAGTCAAAAAACAAAGTGTTTGTGTCACAAAATCTCGGCAACGGTTTGTGTGATTCCAACGAAAGTGATGTTTGAGGCGACACAATATGCACAGCGCTGAACGGGCATTGTTTTCGTATTTGAAACTGTGCACGAAGCGAACGACATTCGAAATGATATCGCATTTGCGTGGCGAGGAAACGAGAAGAAGCGCAACGCACCGATCAGACATTTATCGAACATTGCACATTCACACAAATTTACATCGCGTCGCAAAGTAACCGGCTCCAAAGTATATATACATTTCCTTTTATTATCTTCTTTGAAATGAGAGTATTCCAAAACTACCACACAACTACAAAAATCAGAATGCTTTCGCACACACTCACTCAACAAAATATATCCGCTGCTATTACTGACCCACGAACGCAGGAGTTTAAATTTATCATGATGTGTGTATGGTTGGTTTTTTTTCATTCTTTCTTTCTTTCGGTGGTGGGCACGGCATAAAACGTACGAAATTCACTTTATTCAGGTCTGTTACAACGCGATTTCTTGGCTTCGATCGGTGGTTATTCGGACGGTCCGCGTTCGCATTTTTCTTTCAAACACACAAAACAACTAGCGATAGGCTTCGTCAAAAGACAACACAATAAAAATGAACAGAGTAAGAAGAAAAACAACGAACAAAAAAAAAACTAACAACAACTAACACCAGACCAGAAGAGCCAAATGAAGAAGAAGAAAAAACTTCAGCAAACGGGAAGAAATTTTGAACGTGTTGATGCGACGGTTAATGTTCGTTTTCGTTTGTGTTTAAATTCCGTGCCTGGTCGTTGCTTCAGTCTCATTATTAAAAAGATCATAAACGCTTTGGAACGTCACAATAGCGATTTTTCTGTATCGTATTTCACACGGTGCTGCTGTCCTTCTTTTTTTTACATATTTATGACAAAACGCGCACACACTTTTGTTTTCGTCTTATTTTGATGATGATAAAAGTACAGGATTTTTATCAGGACACGCACTCACGCCATTTCGAATATTAAATTTGATATGATTGGACGATATAAGTCACCGACACAAACGGAGGCAAAGCAAAAAAAAACAATATAAAAATCTCAAAATATTGCCGTTTTAGAAACAAATGACATAAAAAAGTGTGTTAAAAGAAAACTTTTTTTTTGTTCGGTATTGGTTGAGTGTAAATGATTTGCGAGCGAAAAATAAGAAATGAACCGCACTCGTTGTACCGCAGCTCTCGTATACACCAAAATAGTAGTCACAATTTTGGAAGCAACATCATGCGAAGCAATGAATTCACACACTGTCACTCATACAACAAACAGCAGCACATGCATGCACATCAGGCATAAACACAGACATAGACAAACGCACAGCACACCACACATACGCGCAGTCACACGAACAAAACGAACGGGCGATATAATCGCTTAAGCGATGTGTGCGTTCATGAATTTTGTATTTGAATGGTTGAACACAGACATTCTATGATGCGCTTGTTAGAATGTGCAATGCCTTTTACTCTCTCTCTCTCTCTCTCGCTCTCTCTCTCTCTCTCTCTATCTCTTTCTCCTTCACTCTCTTCGGACGAGCTGCGGATAATAATAATGAGACTCGTTTTAATTTTTCGGTGTGTCTTGAAAATGGTTTTTCGCCCATAATCAACGCCGAAATTCTAGATATCATACATGCATCACCTCTAGACTTTCCCTTTTTTGATGAGAGATTTACGTAAAGCATCGACTTTCGGTCCCTCACCATCATCACTATTTCTCTCTTTTCTCTCGTTTTGTTCGTCAATTATTCAGTTTATCCTAATGAATTTTCGGCGTTAATGTGTGCAAATGTTCTTCTAGCCCAAATCACGATACCAACATTCGATTCAAGCAGCAGCAGCAGCAGCAGCCAACGTCAATTTCTGGCATTCTTTCGAGCGTTGTAATATTCATGGATTGTGTGGAAAATCATCAATTTTTCGAGGAATTTTTAATTAGATGCCAAGTGTTTTTTGGCAGCGTTTAAATAAGTGATCACATATGATGAGCAATCTCTGATGTGGTCGCATCTCTTGCTCAAACCGATTTCCATACACAAGAATGTGTCGTTCTGATCCCAAGAGACAAGAGCAAAAAAGTGAATGACGACAATATTTCTCAAACACTTGGAAACAACGTTCAGGCGAATAAGATTGAAGGATACATTGCCTAAAAAAAATGACTATTACGAATCATTTGCAGCGAAATGAGAACGCAAATGTGCAAAGAAGAGTCGAAGTATTTTTCCTACTCAGTTTTTTTTCTTTGCTTTTCGGTTTTTGTTTTTGGGAAATGCTGAAAAAGCAGCATTTTTTTTCGTCTCTATTGCTTTCGTCAAATAATTCTCGCTTGAATTAGCCGAACAAGAAATATGTGTTGCATTTTATTTGTACGCATGTAACACTCATACATGGGCGCATTGCCGAAGAATTGAGTCGAGTTGTCGCATATATAAATTTCGATATTCTTTTGCGTAGCACACAAGTTTCCATTGGTTTATGTGTTTATTGCTCGGACTCATTGGGTTGTGTGCTCATTTGATTTTGTATGTACAAGTACATAGAAAGAATGTGCCGTCGTCAGTTTCTTATAGTGCGAATAGTTGAAAAAGAAAAAAAAACAGTTTTGCTTCTCTCATTCGGTTGCATGCCATCGAATGCGTGTACATATATGAGCGCATCGTATCATCCCAAACGTCGTCGGCTTTCGTCAAAATGCGAATGGTAGAGAAGGGCGAAATGGAAAACGATCTCTTCGTCAAAATAAGAAAGAACGAAACGTAACAACAACATCAACCAACAACAACAAGAGGCTCACACTCGCTCTTACACACACATGCACATTGGAATATGAAACGCGTTGCACTTTCGAGTCATGTATTGCAATCGGAACCATTGAGGAAAAAAAGGAATAAATAAGCCCGAAAACATAACAATACAATCATATCCAACCAGCAAACGCATCGCCTAGCGTGCACGATGTGAAAAACGGCGAGCGTGTGTGTGAGTGAGTGTGTATGATCGTTTCAACAAGAAACAGTCAAAATAACAATAAGAAGGAAAACGGAATCATGTATCGTAAGCAAACAGTCGATTTACGTAGCGCAACAAACGTCCCTTAGACCAAAGGGAATTGCTAATGCAATGGTTTTCGTAGCGACAGAAAGAGAGAGAGAGAGAGAGAGAGAGAGAGAGAGAGAGAGAGAGAGAAAGAGTGTGTAACAACCAACTGAGAGTACACACCGAAAAAGAATGTTGAGAGAGCAATAAAAAAAAGCGACAACTCAAAAAATAACGAGAACAGCAGGAGCAGTAGAAAAAAACCCGGATCCATTCATTCACACTATACTCGATTTGTGTGCATATAAGAGTTTTGTGAGTGTGTTGTTTTTTTTCGCTTCTTACAAGCCGCTATGAAATATTTGTCGTAGCTCAAGTGTTTTCGACTGCACTTTTAACATCCTTTTTTTCTCGGTGCCACTCTTTTGCTCTATCCCCATGCATTTACTATGGAAATTGTTTCGCAGCACTTTTTTTTAGAAGGAAGATTTAAATTTGAATTTATCCGGATTTTTTAAGTTATACGGAGGACAAAAACGGGCCCCATCGAAACTGGTTGGTAATAGAGCGCAAACGATGAATGACAGATACGGCGGAAAAAAAGGAATCAATTTTCTTACGCTTAACCAAAATTTTAGGGATGAAGTAATAATGGCCAAGCGTTTTTCCCATTGTAACCGAATCCATTTGATGAGAAGTTATTGGCGTTGGTAAAATGCAACGCAGCATTTTGTGATAACACAAATTTTATTGCGGAACGAACGACCGAATGTCCATACCGATATTTATACACACACGCTCAACGAGGAAAAAACAAAGCAGCCATACTTCAATTCAACAGCATACAAGTCGTTTTTAAAAGGCATCGACAATAAAAGATAATTAAGATAAATACACACGAGTAAATCCGAAACACGGAGGGATATATGAATTGTGTTTGCGAGAGAGCGCTGTGTGTAAATTGGTTTTTAGCTACAACACGGTCTGCTGTCGATTGTCGACGATGGCGATGTTACAGCCATTACTGCTGCTGCTGTTGTCGTTGTCGTCGCTGGGATGAAATTGATTTTTATTTACTCGGAACGACAAACCAACGACGTTGTCAATGTGTTGTAAAACCATATGCGCGCTCACCATGCCCGTGCCTGTGCCGGAGACCGAGAGGCCCGAAAAATGCTCGAGTGAGAGAAAATTATTTTTATAAACGGATATTGGCAATTTTGCTCCAAAGTGATTCAATGCTTGCACAGATTGATCAATACACCAAAGTGTCACATTGAGCGATTGCAAATGCCATTCATATTACATACAAATTTTCACCTCGTGCATCTAGTAGTCAACGATGGAGAGTAGATGGTAGGCAACCGAGAAAAAAATAGAGAAAAGCGGTTGTTGGATGCTAGCCATCTCTCACACAACGAGAAATGATCGAGTTAGGCTGATTACTGACACGAAAAGATGCTGCACAACATTTTCCGCCTTTTTTTCAGCATATTGTGTGTGTGTGTGAGAGAGAGAGAGAGAGAGAGAGAGAGAGAGAGAGAGAGAAAGAGAGAGAGAAAGAGAGAAAATGAGCGAGAGTGAGTGAGAGAGAAAAATGAGTTTAAAAGCATTTAACAAAATTAAAATTCATCTGGCTCTTTTTATTCTTTTATGGTTTTTCTCTCTCTACCTCTATGTGTGTATATGTATTTCTCTCTATCTCTCGGTGCTCGCATCAATATTCATTAAGAAGATGTGAGTATATGCTTGTGTTACTGTTTGGTTGTCTCTTGAAATGAACGAAAACGCCGGCCGGAACTCGTTTATTTCACTACTGCTCAAAGAGCAAAAGTATTTTGTTCATTCGTTGTTCGTTTCTGCTGTGCATTTCTCTCTTTCGGTCGTTTCTATTGGATTCCGACATTTCGTTGAGTCACTTTTATTCTCCAGCGTATTGGCTCAAGTGTTGTGTAAAAATGAGCCGAGCAAAAAACGTAACCAAGCGTCGAAAAGTATGTACATTGTACACGCTGAATGTGACAAACGGTTAGCTGCCGTTTTACAATCGAATTGGAAGCAAAACACACAACTGAAAAAAAGCAACGAACGAAAAAATGCCATTAAATTAGACAACTTAGAAAGTGTCCTGTAGAGGAATGGGGACACAAGAAGCAAACAGAAAAAAATACGTTAAAAAACCGACAGAAATTCCAGTGACGCGGAATAGAATTGTGTGTGTGAGTTTGTGTAATTGAAGTTACAAAGGAGTAGAGAAAAAACAACGCGACTTGCCACACACACACACACACACACACACACACCATTTGGCGGACGTTTGCGTCAGTTGGCTAATGACTGCTGTGTGTTGGCGGTGATAATAGAGGTGCCGAAATGATTGTCAGATATCTCCAAAACGATTGATAGACTAGATTAATGACATTTTAATCAAGTTACAGTTGGAAAAAACCATAAATCTATGTGTCCAACACACGACAAACTGGGCTCTAGCTCAAGAGACGGCAATAAAACAGCGAAATTCGTTACAAAAATTATGGAATGAGTGAGTGAGACCAATTTCAAAGTAGAGCATGTTCGAGGTTGGATCGTGCGGGAATCGTTATGTGAATTTAGGGTTGAAACGAAGAAAATACAGAGGGCTGTTACTATTTGTGGAACAGAGCGCACATTTCATTACACATACACACGCTAGAAAATGTGTATCCGTTAAGGTGAAAAATGCGTACCTTTCAAACGTGAACATGATATTTACCCGGAGCATATGCACAAGCAAACACCGAGCTCGTTTCATGTTCAATTTTACTTTAAATAATTGCTCATGTTGTCATATAAAATGCTTATTTATGTTTTGTACTCTTACTAAAATATGTTCCTTCTCTCTCTCGATTGCTTTCTTCTGGAGCGCCGCTTGCAAATACACATGCTTAGTACACAATTCATGCATGGAATTATTTATTCATTGCGCTTTATTGTCGCTCTCAGTTTAACGTCGTTGTCGTTGTTGTTGTTGTTGTCATCGTCGTCGTCGTCACCACGACACGGCTTGTTTGCATTTCATTTCAAACATAAAGTCGATTGTTTTATCCCTTCAAACCGAAAAAGAAAACCACTTCGACTTACTCCGGGTTAGTTTATTTTAGAGTTACAGACTAGATAAATAAGATGGAACTAATTGGTGAATTAGTAGCGAGCATGATCAGTGATCATTAGATGGTTTATGAAATGAGATCGCCTATTAAATGGATTTTATGGTTGCTATGTGGGCACGAAACCGCATACAAAGCCCATTTTGAAATGAGAACGCTCTCTCGATGTGTCTGAAAATGAAAACAAAACACATAACTCACAGCCAACTATCAAAAAACTATTGCAACAAAGTGCTAAAATAATTCGTGAAAAATGCACACGTCCAGTTGGTAAACAAACGAATTGGGTTTTGAACTCATGGTGCGAGTGAAACCTTTTTACATTGCATTCCGTCCATAATCCAATGGTTTGGAACAAGAGAGAGAGAGAGATAGGGACTGTCGAATCAAGTTGGCAAACAAATGCAAAGAGAAATTACAGCTTTTATTTATCTAAAAATTTCGCATATGCATTCCAATTATTCGCGATATTTCAAGAGTCATGTACACGGTTCGAAAGCCAACCATAAAAATCGGCTGCATTTTTCGACCCTTTTCACACACACACACAAACTAACAAACCATATATGCTCAACGGTGAATGCGACGAAAATCTATTGTGAGCATGCAGAGAATGTTACGAACGACACAGAGAGAAAAACAAGCGATATAGTGGCTGAACAATGCGATACATTGCGATATCTCGCAAAAATCAGAACAATACCGGCTGAAAACGCAGCAACAAGACTGTATGGAAAAAATTGTTTGTATGCGCCCATTGCAATTACTGCTCTGCGTAAACCATTGCACACGTTGATTTTTTAAATTTTGATTTTTTTTTCGCTCTCGTCGACGAGATTTCTATATGAATGAGATGCACATTCAAAAGGCTTTTTTTTCTAGATTTAGGCTTAACAGTCAATATATATAAACAGAGATGAATATTTTTCACACATACATACATATATGGATATGATTGGAAAGAGAGAACGAGAGTACATTATCAGTCAAACACACCGATGACACAATGCAGACAAAACCAAACCATAGAATAGAATGGGCTGTGTAGAGAACCGAACAAGAAGTGGCTGTTGCACAACACGAAAAACGTAGACTGCATTAAATCTGCAGACAACGACGTGTGCATACATTGGCCGCATGTGTGTGTGTGTGTATGTGTGTGTATGCACATGCAAAAGTCGAGAAATAAAAGAGGGAGAGAGAGAGAGAGAGAGAAAGAGAGAGAGATAGACCAACATCGATAACAGAGAAATGCCTAGTAATTCACACATCGTGTTTGTTTATAAATGTATTTTTTCGGCTCTTTATACCTTTACACACGGGAATGTGGATGTGTTTTCATATTGCATGCACGTCGGTGTCGTCGACGTCGCATACTCACACATACACACATACGACGTATCCACATATGCATGTGAAATGGAAAGAAAAAAAAACGTAAGAAAAATCAAAGTGACGACAACATATAAGCCGCACCATTACACAATCCTGCCGGCGAAATCCATTCAGTAATTGTGGATGTGAATGCCTCCTTCCACCGTTCTTCTTTCATTTCTTCGTCGTTTTACTTTATTAAAATCGCTTCATTGTTGTTTTTTCTTCCTTTCTTCCATCATCGGGATCCTCTCAACTCGTCGCTTCGGTTTTGGTTCGAGCGATGCTATCAATTTCGGTGTTTATATCTACGTGTGTTTGTGTGTGCAATGAATATATGTATTCTCTTAAAACAAAAGTTTGTACCAAAGAATTCGTGTTTTTAAGTGGTCCTTTTTGTGCGCTTTTTCTCATCAAAAAAGATATTTTCGTACTTGTTCCGACGAAAACTCGAGCACAAAACTTGATAGTAACTTGTACTTGGTAAACGATTATCTATTACTGTCGACAAAACAGTAAAACCGAACGGGCGGAATAAAAAAAAACGAACACACCAGAAACGAATGCATGCAAATCACGACACAATTTAAAATGCAATCATCATTACGTGCACTGCGTAAATTCGTGACTTTTCGCTAATGACTTTACTCGATTTGGAAGTTGCATTTTTCACTCAAAAATTGTACGGCATTCTTTTTTTTCGGTCTTTGTTCAAATGAACAGAAAAAGAAATTTCGTTGCCTTTGCGAGAGCAACGCGAATCAATTTGAAAACATTTGAGTAGTTGGTTCCGGAGAATGTCAACACTTTGGAAAACTATTTTTGTCGTTTTGGAATGACAAAGTTATATCATTGCAGATGCACCGGGGCTCGTCGATATCAGTGGTGGAATGTATGTGCGCGCGTCTGCCATTGTCTCTCATTTTCATTCGAAATGAATGTTGTCGGTGTTCGCATGTGACTCTATAAATACATTTTAATCACTTGGGTTTTCTATTACTTTTTTTCTCTCTCTCTCTCTTCTTTTTCTGGTTTATTGTTGCACCTGTGCACCACCGTCATCACCACCATCACCATTACATTGTGCATTAGACATCTTCGCGTTGCATATGCGTAATGAGGGTCGATAAATTAACGGAACACAAGGAAATTCATATTAGTAGCTGTGGTGTAAATCAAATTCAATACATTTGCTCATAGATGAAAATATGTGGTGATGATAGGCCGAGCATGCATATCCACTTCTCTGATATACCGTGTGCCAGAATGGAGTCAATACAGAGAGTCAAAAGCATTTAAAATGCAAGAAGAATAGCTCGAGCTTATCGATATAGTCACCGAGGAAAATAATAAATTAGTTGACCACATGCTCATTGAAAATGATATCATCTGCCTTTGTTGTGTCCATGAACGCTCGATTTTACTATATAAATTGCTACGACGATGTGAAAATCGTACGTTTTGTTCAATTACATCGACATTTATCTGTAATTATACTGTATCGAACCGCATATGAATCCAAAGTCATTGCCTTATCGTCCATATCTTAAACTCAAATCACATGAAATTATTTTAGATGTTTTTAGTCATTGGCAACGAAAATGACGATAATTCTCACTGTAAAATTTAATTTTGAACATGTAGAAATTAATTCTGCTCAAAAGATATCCATCGTTTTTGTGTCCAAATTTACACACAATGACCGATTATCGATTTTGTTCATGGTGTGGCTTTGCTTTGCTGCTTTGGAGTGGTTTCAAATTATGCCTTATAGCGTGTCACACCACAGCAGGCAAGGGCAAACCGGAAAACCGTTTCATTTGCATAGATATTTTAATTAGGAGCGTTATTTGATAAAAATGCTACACAAGAATTAGTTCTTTATAGTATTTTGTGTGTATGTGTGTGTTCCATTGCATTGAGGCGTCGCTTTGCATCATTGTTGTTCAATGTATGAACTTGTTTGCCAGATCAAAGGAGCCTTGCTTGCCTGCTTTTATAGACTTGCTTTTAAAACTTCACTTTGATGTTAAAGGATAATTAAAAATACTGTGCAACTTTCATTCTGTGTGTTTTTTTCTTTCCTCGCCTTTACATTTTCGACAGCAAAAATTGAACGTGGAGGAAGCGCAGTTTGGTTGCACGGAGGGGCAGAAAAAGAAGACTCGATGAAAGAAGGAATAACAATAAAAGTGCAGCGCATACACAGAGGATCAAAACCAGTTGGCCAATACCAACAACAACGACGCCGAATGATGCGATTGCATGAAAAATATGTTTGATGAAGAGCTTCCAACAATCGACTAAATGTTTTCAATCAAAATATTTTCAATAAGAAGAAGTAAGATGATTTTATGTGCTCATCGCTTCTTTTTTTTCGCTCGTTCGTCATTTGGGTACAATGTTTGTGTGAACAAATAGTATATTCATCAAACGCACTGAAGAGCACAAGGAAACATGTAGATGATTGGCTTTTTTTCGAGATGGACACACAGGGGAAAAAATGATTACATAACAGAGAGAAAAAAAAGCTGGTCGAGTGTGTGTATGTATTTCGTTTTGAGTGGAATGTGAAGAGTCTTTGTATGTTCGATCCATCTCACATGACATGATTTTTTTTTCATCTTGCTTTAGGGCTCGTCGTGTGCACATCCCAAAATATAGCCATGATTGCTATACCTGCGAAATTATTTAATAAAAGATGAGACCTTTGATCGGGCCATCGCAACGGCGTTGCTGTAAACAAGTTTATCAATTTACGTGTTTTTTTTTCATCTTTTTTTTCCAAAAACTTCGGTTCATATGTGCTGTGAAGCCAAATTTCAATAATTTAAGCATCGAATACACGGAAACAATATTCGCAAATTCTCAAAATACAGAATTTATTTGTGATTTGTTTTTTCTTCCTCAGCCCGCTCTTCCTCTTTCTTTAATTGACTCTGCCAACGGAATCTCCATGCTGGCGAATAGAAAACTTCTGACAAACATATTGAAAAGTGAAATGGACTCTTATGACATGACTTATGTCATTCTTGTTCAGAACATATAAACCTTTCACATCATTTGATTTCAATGCATATATGCGAATGTGTATAGTACCCAAACCCAATGTGCAGCATTCATAATTCAGGCGTGCAATTTCTTTCTTTCTTTCGCTCGCAGTTTTTTCTCTCGTCGTTGCTGTTGTTGTGTGTGTTCCATTCTTTTTATTCAGTCGGCGAGACAAATGCTGTCGCATCATAAATAATGACAAACTACGACCATAACGAACGCAAACAAAAAAAAACGACGCTGCAACGCTTTTAATAAGCCCATCGTCCCATGCAATTGTTTTCAATATTTGCATTTCATTTTTGCTGCCTGAGTTTCTGCTCTTTGCTCTCGTTTGTTGTGCCTCTCTGTGTGTGTGTCGCACATGAATTTAATCTGATGAAGAATGCAAACGAAAAAAGATCTCTTTCGCTGTTGAAAGAACAATATCAGC